TCTAGGACAGAAGGACTTCTTAAACAAGACATACCAGCCTTACTAACCAAGAGAGAAAACAGAATTTTGATTACATGCAAGCTGATAGCTTCTAATTATCATAAAGCATAAAGAAAACTATAATAACTAATTTTTCAGGGCTGGCAAGATGGTTCAGCAGGAAAAGGATCTTGAGTTTAATCTCTGAGGACAGGATCAATTCCTGCAAGTTGTCCTCGGACCTACACACACAGGCCTAGACACATATCCTGGTGTACACACACACACACACACACACACACACACACACACACACACACGATAAATGTAATAAAAGTTTTCACTAAAGTATAAAGAGTATCAAAGACAAGCTATGAGCTGGGAAATGCCTGTAAAACAAAAATCTAATTAATGATTAGGATCTAAACTATGTAAAAATGCTTACAAGGACTGTCAAAATAGATCAGTCAGTAAAGGACTTGCCTTGCAAGAGCAAAGACCAGAGCGCAATCCCTAGAACCTATGTAAAAAGTCAGAGAGGGTGGTGCAGCCTAGGCTATCTACATAGTGAGTTCCAAGAAAGTGAGAGGCCTATCTCAAAAATAAAACAAGACCCAAAAATGGGGGTTGGGGATTGGGTGAGAAGACAGTATCTAAAGACAACAGCTTAAGTTGTCCTCTGGTTTCCACTCATGCACACACAGCATGTGCATGCATGCTAACACATATATGCATGTATATATGACACAAATACTGTCTACAAATAATTTAAAAAAAGATAATACATCAAGCAAAGTGGCAAACTCTTGACTGGAATTTCACAGACAAGGAAACTTACAGAATGGACAAATGCATGAAGAAATACAGGATGTCACTGTCTATCAAAGAAGTACAACTTCAGACTACAGGATGCCATTTTCAAGTTTTTAGAATAGTAAAAATTAGAAGAGTTAGCATGATATATTGGCAAGAAACACAGAATAGTGACATATCTAATAGATGTCACAGAAGTATAAAACTGGTAAAATCCTACTGAAAAATAATTTGACATTACTATGTGAAGTTGAACATTCATATGCTTTTTTATGGGCAATTCTCAATTTTATAATAAAATACTTTTATACTTGTATTTTACATAGAACCATCCTACATAATAAAAACAACAAAACTAAATCTATTCAAACCTCCACTGGCTAACTGGGCTAATTCACATACTAGAGCACTATATCATAGTGAGAGTGAATGAACTACAGCTGTAGGCAATGACATGAGTCAATCTTAGAAATGTACCGGTGAGCTGGGAGAAAGACAAGACTTCTGAATGGTAACATCTTCCTCTCCCTCAGCCTTACACCAGTACTTAGCACTCTGTCACCAAGAAATTCTCCTAATCCTAATAGCAAAGAATGAAAATGGTTTTTTGCTTGTTTGTTTGCTGGTTACTATAACCTCAACTTTAGCTTCTAATTTCCTTTGAAAATGCCATGATTCCATAGCTGAAAAAGAAAACCAAAAACATGGGTAATTGTGGATGACAGACCTCAAAAGCCTGCAGAGCAAACACAAAATTAAATGAAGCACATTTGAAAGCTGCTGTGGTCCAAAGAGGCCACCAAAATGGCAAGCTGTCACTTGACTCTTTGCAATTGTTTTCTGGTTATAAGTCTAAATTTATATCATTTACATAATGTGATGCTTCTATGTGGCCTTTTATCTTCCAGTATTTGCTTGAAATGTATAAATATCTGTAAATTCGATATTTGTCTAAAATATAATACTCTGTGCAAGCTTTAAAAAACACGTTGAGTAGATACTGTGGTGGTTTGAATGAGAATGACTCGCATAGGCTCAAGTGTTTGAATACTTGGTCTCCAGTTGATGGAGTTGTTTGGGAAGGACTAGGAGGCCTTGTTGGAGGAGGAGTGTCAACAGGGGCAGGCTTTGAGGTTTCATTCCCTTCTGCTTGTGGGTCAGGATATGAGCTCTCAGCTGCCACTCAGCTACCACCATGCCTTTGCTCTGCCAACATATATGCTAACCCTCCTGAACCATAATCCCAATTAAACTTTCTTTTATATGTTGCCTTGGTCATAGTGCTTTATCACAGCAATAGAAAACTGACTAAGACACATAAAATCGAAAGCATTTTCTTTTTGCATTAAAAAAGAGATAAAGTCAGGCCCAGTGGCACATGCTCTAATCCCAGCATAGGAAAGAAGAAGCAGTAAGACTGAGTTCAAATCTGAGGCCAGGCAGAACCTGCCTCTCCTTTCCAAGTGCTGGAACTAAAGATGTGCACCCTGCAAAAATATTTTTATAAAAATACATTAATTGATTTATATAGGTATAAGAAGTAACAATCAACATACACTTAGTTTGACTACTAGCTACAAAATTTTCACTTACAACAAAAGGGGTCACTTACTGTGTATCAGGAATTGTGCCAGACACTGAGGATACAAAGATGTACAAGATACGTGTTCTTCTGTCAAGGAGCTCATAGTCTGGCGAGAAGACAACCCTGCAAACACAAAAGTTTTCAGTGTGACACAGAATGCCTAACACTTCCTCTGGAGCACATAAGGAAAGCAGACAGCCTTCAGTCAAGGAGTGGAGCCATCACAGAGAAGATATCCTGCACATGTAACTCCAACTGTCACTTTTTATTTTATTTTAAAGAAGACTGGTGCCAGACATCAAGGCACACACATTAATCCCAGCACTTAGGAGGCAGAGGCAGGTGGATCTCTGTGATTGTTATTACATCCTGTCACAAGAAACAAAAACAAATTATGTGTATGGGTGTTTTGCCTGTGTGGTTGCTTGAATAGGCTTGGCCCCCATAGACTCCTGTTTGAATGCTTGGCCCATAGAGTGCAACTAGAAGGAAGTGTACCTTGCGTGGCCTTGTTGAAGAAAGTATGTCACTGTGGAGGCAGGCTTGGAGGTCCTATATGCTCAAGCTAGGCCTAGTGTGATAGTCTCCTTCTGATGCTGTGGATCAAAACAGAACCTTCAGCACCATGCCTGCCTCCATGCCACCATGTCCTGCCATGATGATAATGGACTAAACCTCTGAAAATGTAAGCCAGCCCCCAATTAAATGTTTCCTTTATAAAAGTTGCTGCAGTCATGGGGTCTCTTCATAGCAACAGAAACCCTAACTAAGACAGCCTGAATTTATATCTGTATACCACATACATTCCTGGTGCCCATGGCGTTCAGAAGAGGATCCCCAGAAATCAGAGTTACAGAAAGTTATGAACCACCATATGGGTACTAGAAATAGAACCTGAGTCCTCTGAAAGAATACCCATTACTCTTAAGGGCGAAGCCATCTCACTAGTCTCAGAATTCTTTTTATATATGTGTGCATGTGTGTATGTCACATACATGCAGATGCTATGTGCTCTCTAATTTCAGAGTACTACAAATACAGTGTATTGCCTATATTTAGGATTCCCTTATATGCTCTGCAGTTGAATAAAAACCCTGTGGCATTTTCAAAGGGTTGAACTGGACAAAATCAGCTTAGATGGACATGTTGTCTCCTCTACACGTAGCGTTTAACCTAATCTTTGGCTGAATATCCACTCTGCTGAAAAGTTTGGGGAAAGTCAGACTTTTCTATTTGTCTTGTCTCACTTACTCTCCGAGTTCCTGAATCTGAATGGACTCTACAGTCTTTCTCTGTTTTCATATGCTGGGTACCAAATACTACTGGGAAATAGTATAGCAACATGCAGATTGTTGTCCCTGTGGGTTTATGAAAAACACCATAGTAATATTGCTTAGCTATGGTTGATCACCTTTTCTTAGTCCTCTCAGTAATATCAGAATATCTCCTCCATGAACAAGCCTGTTGTCTTCTATGATTAATACCTCTAACAAAATTACTCCAAATATTTCTTCTCCATTGACTTAAACCTAGCTGTCTCTGATATGGGGATATTCACAGGTTTATTTTGAACATCATACTCCAAATGAAAATTGTCTAACTTCTCAAAATTAGAATAGCAACTAGCTTTTGATAAGTGGTTGTTTTGAACTATGCAGACACTCATTTCAAAACTGGGGGAAGGAAGCTAGGTGTGGTGGTGCACACCTTTAATCCCAGCACTCAGGAGGCAGAGGCAGATGAATCTCTGTGGGTTCAAGGCCAGCCTGGGCAACATAATGAGTTCTAGGACAGCCAGAGCTACATAGTGAGGCCCTGTCTCAAAAACAACAGCAAAAAGAAGGGGAGGAGGAGAAGAAAATGGGGAAAAGGTTGTTGTGATTGCTGAGAATGGGTCTCACTATGTCACTAGGGAGCTCAGACTGCCCTCAGATCCTGAGTGTTCCATTTACAGAGTGCACTGACAGCTCTAGAAGATGTACCTAACTGCCTGCTTACTTCAAGATACCACTGTAAAGTCAAAGCAATAAAACAAAATAACAAACAACACTTCCCTTCCCCCAAAAAAATCTGTTTAGAATGACCTGAATTGTCTGCACACGCAGCACATACTGAGCATAGTATTAAGGCTTTAGAAGGCCAATGAAATATTGTCCCAACTCCTTAGGCCTGCATCAATCAATAAACATATGCATTGATTGTCTAATCTGTAAAGAACAGCACAGATAGAAAAATAACAGAAGACAAAGTCCAGATTCACCAACAGGGAGTATAGTTTTGGAGACAATATTACAAAAAAGGAAACAACCCAGTAACAAGATAGGGCGAGAGCATCAAGTGCTAGAGAAGCTTGGCCCAAAGACAGGGAACTGAAAAGTTACAAATCCTGAATTGAGGCAGTTATTGTATCAACAGCACAAAATTTAAAACTCAGCGAATGTACAAATGATAAATGGGGATGAACCTATCAGTGTCCCTAATACCCAATTTAGCAACTCTAAAGCACACAAAAATTATTTTATAAAAATGTAAACTATAGAATGTGATATTTAACTTAAAATAAAACAAGAATGTTACTTCTACATAAAGATAATTTATAAAAAGATATTGCTAAGTATTTTAATAAATTTATAAAACATGACAATGATAGGAAAATAGCCTTGTTTGTCCAGGACCATCTACATTTTAGTTTTCTATCCTTGGAAACTCCTCAGTTCTGTGGGAACTGAGACATTCAATAGTCTTAGCGACCAAGGTAATGATTCCACCTGTTTCAACTTTTTCTATGGATCTCAACAGAACAGGAACTAACAGAATCCTGCAACAAAGCAGTTTTTTAAAACTGTAGAAAGAAAACCAGATCAGTTACACAGAACTAAGCAGGGCTCAGGATTATATCACAAAGACTGCATTTGAGAGACAGGGAGAAATGCCTTTCTTAGCTCTAGAAATATTTTTAACAAACTCTAAATCATTACTTCTTTGACTCCTAAAGATCCAGACTCCTGCATAAACTTCTTAACGCTGCTCAGTCCATCTGTTCTCCCCATCCCAGGCCTTCATCCCAACTGCATGGCCCCTTAAGGACAAGGTAAGGCCTTCATGTCTATACCAGTACCTCACCATCTTGCAGCTTGCCAGTCTTCAACCTTTTCATTAGCACACATGACTCTCATCCTGATCTGATGGGCACTTTTCTACATACAACCTTGCAGAAGCTGTCTCTACCACGGTGCCCACTTTTCTTCTCAGGCATGCCCCTCTGGATCTTCTAAGGACAATAGTAGCAGTACCATCGAACCTGCTCATGGAACGTACTCTACCTCTAGGCTACACTTCTAGCTGTCTTCTAGGTGGTTTTTGTATTGTAGGGTTGTCTTTTTTTTTTGGGGGGGGGGGGGTCTTTTTTCTTTCCCTCAAAACCATCATCAGAATGACCATGCATCTTCCTCCCCTACTTGCCCCAATTGAGTTAGAAGGGTCACTTGAGCCCAGAAGTTCAAATGCAGCCTTAGCAAAATAAAACACTACATCAAGGGAAGAAATAAATTATCAGAATTTTTTATAAAGTTTACAAATTAATGCAAACAAACCCTCCTCCAAGAGTCATCAGTCTAGAAACACTATTTTACAATAAAATAAATTTATTAAAGTCCCCTTAAATTAAGTAAACTTAAATTACTCAAATAAGAAATGGATGACAGAACACAGGTGTTTTTTTTTTTTTAAGCTTGGAATTATTTCACTGAAAATACTACTTATCTCATAAAACAAGAAATCATCCATTATTGTACCAATCTAACTCCTGTTTCATTTTATACTACTATTTTCCCCAACCACACTTTTTATTTTTAACTCCACAGCCCATTCATAAAAATTGCCAAATACAGGTCATGCAGAATCCTTAGATAACATCAAGACATCAAATATGTAATTTATGTCCATATTTGGAGAACTTTGAAAACAATATTCCAAAACACCACAAGATGGTGATATTGCACCATAAAAAAGATGTTTTAAATAGTTACTTTTTTTGTTATCATCGTCCCCAAAACAAAATAACAACTCTTTTCCAAGAAAGGACATTAAAAAGTGTGCATGCTTTTTTTTTCTTTTAACTAGAAAACACTAGTCAGGAAAACATACTTAAACTTAGCAGCAAGGCTGCTGGCCTTTAGCCCAAAGAGGTTAAAAACCCTAGACTAAAAAAACCCAAGACTGATGGCTATGCCCACACTGACCTCCTTCCCTGACCAACTCTATCTCCCCTCATAATCATCAGTAAAAATTTCAGTTCAGTATATGCTGTACTTGCTATGCCTAACCATTTTTCTTGTACTTAATTTAAGAAGTGATTCCTACTTTTTCCTTTGCCCTTTTTAATTATTTATATAAAAAAAGTTACCACCATTTTCACAGTCATGGACATTATGTATATATATATATATATATATATATATATATATATATATATATATATATATATATAGAGAGAGAGAGAGAGAGAGAGAGAGAGAGAGAGAGAGAGAGACAGGGTCTCAAGCTCAGACTGGCTTCAAAACTCAGCAATCCTCTATCCCCCGATAGAGTATTGGGATCACAAGTGTGAGCCAGCGTACCCAGCTCCCATTCCTTTTTTTTTTTTTTTTATTGTCTTAAAAACACTGACACTAAGCTTCAGTTATATCAGCATAGGATTACACCTGAATGGTGTTGAGCACTGGAAGTCAGGTACTTCCTATTTTCCTGTGCTGTTTCACAACATCTTATAATATGCAATACTTACCATCTTCAAAATGGGAAAATACTAACTTGAAAGCAAAAAATTATACATGTAGTAATTTTTCCTCTTGCCTTATTGAACACTGTAGAAAACAAATTTCCTATTCAAATGCTGCACATTTGAAAATAACAATTTAAAAAATACTATTCAAGACTAAATACATTAAAACTTTAGTTCAAACTCTTAAGATCGAATCCCAGCTTACACACAGAAAACACTGCCTCAACACTATTATCTTGCAAACCCATAGGGAATACCTATGTCCACAGAAGTGGTGTCAACTAAATGGAATGGCACAATACTTGTATAAAATTACACACACCCCTCCCACATACTCTAG